ATGAGCTTCAATAATCAATAGATAATTTGTTTTCATATTTATTTAGATTGATGGAGTACTTTAATATAACAAAGATATACTTTATATCCTTTAAGATAGCTAAGATATACTTTAAGGTAGCCAAGATATACTTTAGGATGACAAAGATATACTTTAAGATAGCAAAGATATACTTTAAAATAACAAAGATATACTTTAAGATAGCAAAGATATACTTTAAAATAACAAAGATATACTAAATGTACTTTTAAATAGCAAAGATATACTATAAGATAGCAAAGATACACTTTAAGATAACAAAGATATACTTTAAGATAGCAAAGATATACTTTAAGATAACAAAGATATACTAAATGAACTTTCAAATAGCAAAGATATACTATAAGATAGCAAAGATATACTTAAAGATAGCAAAGATATACTTAATTAGACCAAAGATATACTTGAATACTTTAAAATTAAGATAAATCAAATTCGAAAATAAACATAAATATCAAAGATAATACAAACTCATCTAAATATAAAAAAATATCTTATACTAATAATTTTCATAGAAAATAACTTACTTTGAACTGAAACGGTGTGATAAAATCCTGGCCATCTTCAGTAAATACAGATATTTTTGTTGCGTCAACTACACATAGACTTGGAAGAGGACAAACTAAAAATAATAATAATAAATTAAAAGATTCATAAAACAAAATTTGATATTAAGTTAATCCATTATCCAACATGGGATTCATGATCAGTTTTGCAAGTAACTGAAGATTCCAAAACACTTATATAAATAAATAATTACATTTATTACAATACTGATTTATATAATATTATTATCCTAATTATGATACGAACCTTTGATTTGTTATTTTATAACAGTTATTGTTATTGTTATATAGATGATATTCATTATTCAGCCAAAGTGAGCGATCATCATCCTCAGGCTTACATTAATTATATCTTAATGCTTATTTTAATTTGTATGCTTTGTTTTTTTAAATAACATTAAAAATATGACTGAGGAAAACTGAATGTAAAATCATGCGACCAATTTAAATAAGAAATTAGCCATCTTACATTTGAAACCTTAATTTCAAACCCAATTTTTGTGATCCAACATGTTTTTAGATATACAGATTAATAATTTTAAAAAATGTCAATTCTAAAGTTCAACTTTTAAACAAAAATGTTTTCTGATGGATATAATTCATTACATGCTGATAATCCTAAAAATGTAATTTAAAATATTAGAGTAATTGAATGCCCTTTATGCTATAGTTATTTTTATTTTTGTTAAGATCTAGAATCAGCATGATATCTAAATTGAACTAAGGTTCAAAATAGAGTATGTTACATTTCATAAATCAAATTTGGAATGGAAGGGATGTCACTGGACATTCCTCTCCCCCACGCCGATCAAGCCACTACTTGTATTCTTACCCGAGAGCAGACCTGCTAATTGTCATTGCTTATGACAGATGTGGGTGAAGATATAAAGTTAAAAAAAATAAAAATAAAATTGGAATGAAACTGCTTTTAAGTATTCAATTTAATGCAGCAGAACACAATCTAACATATAAGACTATTCAGTGCATAATGATTTTGCCAAACATTCAAAATTGATTAAGGAGATGGTCCGGGGTGGCGGTCATAAAAAGACCAAAATAGTGAAAAAACTATTTCATTTCAAGCCAACATTTCATCCCGACTTTGAATGTCTTCCTCAGGGGGATATATGCAGCAGGAAGTTAGGCAATAAATCTAAGTTAATCATTCAAATCTGATTCTATATCAATATTAAAAACATTATAATTCAATGATATATTTAACGTTATCTATTTTTCAATATTTCTATAATTTTTCTATTTATGATCCATCTAACTTTACAATAGTGACTAAAAACAATATAATAACGGAAACTGCAACTTAACTACCTAATACCTATATCTTAAAAGATAAATTAATAATTAAATAACTTACAAGTTCTATCCTTCATATAAATAAAGTTTGTCCATAATGCTTGTTTAATGGGTGCTTCCATTGTGTAACATGCTTTAACAACTCTTGTAGAACCTTTGTTGTGTCTACCAAAGGCAACACTTCTACCAATAGTGCCTCGGCTAACAATTGCAGTATTACCACAAATATACAATTCCTCTTCCACACCGTCTTTAAGGCGCATGGTCCACCATTCTTTCTGAAAAAATAATTTTTTTACGTAATTGATATATTTTTATTAATCATGTAAATTTAAGATTAGATAATGAAAGTATTGATGATAGAAGTATTCAATAGCTTTATAAGACGGGAAGACTTCATGAAAGAGAAGAATATTTTCCCAACCTTTTTTTTTCCTGTTTACCCTTTGCCATCGAAGGCAAATGGTAAGCCATTTCTGGCATACTGAGGTATTGTTCTAGAGGTACAACCAAACTATTCTGGCCAGAGGGGAAAGGTCAAGATTCACTATAAAAATAAACATCTGCGCAAAATGCAAAAAAGAATGGTTCTTATAAGGCATAGAGGAATTGAAAAGAGCCAAAGAATAAACAATAGATGTTTTTTTAGTAAAATAGTTGTCAGTTTTATTTATCTTTATTTTAATTGTAGTATGGGATAACATTTGATATTTTCTTTTTACAAGAGAACAATGAAGAATAAATGAAGAACAATGCGCATGAGTATTTTTAGTTTTTCCATTGCATTTATTTATTTTCTTAATGAACAGTTTAGTTTAGTTATGAAAAGTCAGTGAAATCCCCTGCGATCTAAAAGTAGAGTTAGTTATTAAGTTTTAATAAACTCCACTGAAAAAATATTTAAATTTTAATGTTAGTATACCAAAAGTCTGTAAACCATATCAAGAATAAAACATTGTACATATTAAAATTAGTAATACTTATTCACAAAAAATAAAGCAAAATTGTTGCTAGTTCTTTTTAATTAAAATAGTTTTTAAAAATAATTTAAATTGTAACTTTCAACGTCCTTATTATTAATAATTATACGGTAATAACAAATAAACAAACTGAAAAATTAGATACAGGAGTAGTTCAGAACCCGTTTTCTATCTAACCATTGAATAAGGTTTTGGCAGCAAAGAGTTACACTTATCTCATTTTTCCCTGTCTGAATTAGGTAGATGACACACCACTAGACAACATTTTTGTAAAAGTATGCCTATAAATCTAAAATTAGAAAGTAAAGAGGTAATAATTAATGAATAATGCTGGTATTTACCTCATCTCCATCACAAATATAAACCTGGCTGAATCTCTGTGCTAGAAATGAATCATAAGGTAGTTGCTGAGTATTAGTCGGTAAAACTACATTTCCAGGGTGTTTCTTAATTTGCTGCCTCCCAAAGGGCACAAACTCCTGCTTGGATAAATAAAAATAAATTAAAAATTCGTGCAGTATAATTTATCTAAACAAATGCAGGCCATTTAGTTTAAATAAGGATAAACTTGATAAGGAATTTTAGTTAAAAAAGTAATAATAGAGAACCTGAGGCTCGGAGGCAGCGATCATGATTTCCCTAGCCTCATCCAGATTTGCGAACAAAGTCTATGTTTAAAATTAAAAAAGGTGGGACAATATAAACAATTATTTGAAGGTGGTTTGGTATGTAAACCTGAGCTATAACCGCATAGTACCCTTCTTGAATTTTTCAAACTTAGTTTCGCCGCGAACGGTTATCTACCGCAGGTTATTCATCTACTATCCTTTGATTTTGGATTTCGATTTATATCAAATTTTAATTAAAATACACTTGGAAATTTTTGCTAATTGAGTAGAGGGAGAAAAATCTAACTTAAGTTATTCATACTCATAGATGTATTCTTATAAAATATTTCTTCTTCGCTATTATTTTCAGACCTCCTAATTTTATGAATTAATTCTTCTAATTTGTAAAAAAAAAAGGATAAACATATACATAAGAAAAATAGATACATATATATTAAAATATATAATAAACACTACTCCTATATATTTTAATAATAATACTGTCTTGCTTAATAAAAACACAATATCTTTTAAGCAAACCATTCCCTAGGGCTACTGAAAAGTGGTAGAAATTGCATTGAAATTGAGAAAATTATGTAATTAAAATTATATTTGATTGAAATGTGCTGCGTTCTTACTGAGTAGAACACAATAATTAAAGTTACGCTATTTTCTATTTGTTTACAATTAATTCTCTATTTGGAAGTTAGAATTCTAAGCTCAATTATAAGTCCTTATTTTAAAATTATGATGTTAAATCTTCAATAAATAGGAATACCATAAAACAGTACGAACATCTTGCTTGATTTATCTGGTAAAATTCCATCTATAAAAATTGGTAAGCAATATCCTATGTATGTTTGAAGAATCTAAAATTATATGTGAAAATCTAGATATGTTATTGTATAATACAATATTCAATAAAGATTAACTAAAATTATTTCACTAATGTTTAACTACGCGTTTAGAATAAGAAGGGCAATAGTGTTGTACGAATGATACAAAAACAAAAACACTTATTACAATTTTAATTACATAACATGAGCCGTAATAAAAATATATATGTATAAGAATACATATAATCAAATAATTATACTGTGTTAACCTAGGATGGATAACATCGTAACAATTTAATAGCATCATTATTTTATATAGTTATTTTGTATTTAATGAAAGTCATATGATTCATAAGAAAAACTATCATGGAAAACATTTAAAAATTAACCTGATCTTCTTAAATTGATTGTTTACTTAATTAGCCGGGAAGTAGATCTTTTACGTAAACATATGGCTTCTTCCTTAATCCAAAGAAGTATAAAATAAACACAGGAATAGGTCAACATCGATATGGAGAAAAGGGAGGGGAGGATCGATCAGCCGAAGCTTTATAACCAGGCACAGTTCTGCCGCCAACCAGTCGCTGCGTGACAGTCGTCAACTGATCAACTGTTGTTTTCAAATTATAGCGCACTTTATTTTCTCTTTGAAAAGTGAAAATGGCTTTCATGATGCCAGTTGTTAAGAATGATTACGACATCTACAAATCAGCTAGGTCCAGGCGAGCATCTGAATGTTCCAACCCAAGCGGTTGTAGAAGTCGAAAAATCTCTGAGTGCTCTAAGTCAGAAGGACCTTCCTTGTCAACATCACCTGGAAGTGATTACAATGTGGGTTCACCTGCACACCGGTCAGTGCCAATTTCCATGTCAAGGCAGTACTCCAGATCATCCAGGAACTCCCAGAGTAGTCTTCAGTCGCCTTGTAAGAGCAGTTCTTCGTCGCCTCCAAAATCAGGATCGGCGAATTCGCTCAACAAGTTCCACAACCGGCTCGTTGACAGGCTGAAGAGGTCTTTGAAGTGCAAGGATTCTTCAGATGGTGAGTTCATGGTCAGTTTCCCAAATTAGTAGGTACATTTTTCCATCTATTGTATTAATGTTTGCAAAAGAAATTGTGCACCCACCATGCAGCTGATGCTTATAGATTTAATTCAATTAGTTTACCACTGCCTCATTTGCACATAATTATTTTAGCCATAGCGAATAAAATTAAAATTAATGTTTTATATAATTTTATGCACAAATATTTAAATAAAGAAACATCAGTATTGTTTTCATAATGATTTGAATAATTCAGTAATCGACATATTTAGGCTTAATAAGTAAAGCTATAGTTTCACATGGGCATAGTTTAGTTTTCAAATCCATAGTCTTAATCCCGTTTTATATAAATAAATAAATATGTTTATGTGTAAAGATCGGTTTATTTCAAACATTTAGCTGATTTGGAACTAAGGTGCACTGTTGGTTTCATGTTTTAATGTATTAAAAAGAAAAGGAAAAATATGCCTACTAAGTATTTTATGCTTTAATTCAACTTTATTTTTTTATATCTTAATTTAGTGAGACTGTGAAGTGTGGGTACTGTCATTACTATCTCCAGCTTTTTTTTTTGTTTTTTTGCCTCTCAAACTGCTTCTTTTTAAATGATTCACGAGATAGTATAGTTTACAAATAATTTTTTTTTTTTGCATGTCATTTCTTATATGGTTTTTGTTATTATAATTTCTTCACTTAGTTTGTTTCCGTTCAAATTACAATTTTCGTGCTTTTAATTGCTGAAATTTTGTTCAACTTTTAAATTTGCAGCTTGACTTCTAACTTTTTAAATCGTAAAATGAACTCGATATATTTTATACAGTTATAACTGTATGTTATAATTGTCCTTTATTGTTGGTACTATTAGCTAAAAATAATGCTTCTTATTTATTGTTTATTGAAACTCTATTTTACAAATTATTGGTAGGTTTGGTGTTATATTGTTTTCTTATTAAAAAACTGATAGGTTTTTTTTTTATTATCGATTTTATTATTTTTTAATTATGACCGGCATTGATATTTATTTCACCTATTATTTAGTAGATTTCTATACTTTAATTAATGGTTTAACTAAATAATCAAATGCTCTTAACTTTGGATTTGTTAAAGTACTTTTTATTTAAGTATAATTTTAATGTTTCCTTCTGTAACTGTTGGCTCCCTTTTAAATCTAATCAAGCCTCAACACCTCATATTGGTTTTCAAGATACGATGTCTATTGGAAAATTATTCGAATTCAAGTAATACGTCTTTAATCCCTGTTGGATGTTTGGGATCTAATTAGGCTAAGTGAAGTATATAAACTTGTTTTGTTTCTGCATAATGAGGTTTCGGCAATCCTGTTTCCGTTGCAGTGTCTTCTGCTCTTGCGTTGTTACCCTTAGGCTCTGTAGGAATTTATTTATTTTTTTACGATGTTGACGAAACGTGCTGGTTTAGTATGTTTTGACAGTGCCTTTGTGGTCTTTCATGTTGACGATGGACGTGTGTTATAAAAGAGGTTATGGTTACAGGAAACGCGCGGTGAGACAACTTGGCTGCTGATGGGGAAGAATCACCATGACGGGAGCGAACGGTGTAGTCACCGGCCCGTCCATCACCTGCTAGCCAGGATTCTGACAGGCCACCTGTATAGCCTACTATCAGCTTAGAACATACTTCAACATCTTTTTATTTTATTATTTTATTTTCTATTTATAGTTATGTTTTCTTGTGAGAAATGTATTTGGAAATCAGTGGAGTTCCAATGAGAGATGCTGATGTTGAATTTAAAGAATATTTTTCTATTGGGCATCAGCAATTAAACGGCCTTTTGTAGCTTTAATTTATTGCTATACGTTTTATTAGTCAGTTGATTAAATAAATAAATAAATGTCGCAAAGCTGTTTAATGTTGGCTCTCTCTAGAGCCAGAAAAATAACATAACAAAAAAGGCCAAAGTAGTCTTTTCTAAAACGTTTACTGTGATTATTCACATTAGTTTTGAAATGTGTTCCCTGGAAGGTTCCATTTTTAAAAATTAAGTAAATATTTTTTTTTCTGTTACTTAAGAAAAGTTCTATATTTAATGTAGATTGTAGTCTATGGCCGATATATATGTCAATTATATCGGTAGTTGTGGTGACAAAGTTTCATGTTGAGAAATGAATTGATAATCAGTTGATGGAATGAATTTTGTAAAAAATCATTCTCCCCCTCTAGTTTTAAGTAAAAGAAAAATTACAGGATTTGATTACTGCCTAACAGGAACATTTAATTTTCTATTTCCTCACTTTGCAGTGTTCAGTTCACAAGTCAATTGAATTTAAGAGACTTGCCTACTTATTGGTTAACTCTTGCCAAATAGATAGAATGTTCACATTTTTATTTTTAGTATATTTTATTTAAAGACTTATTAGGTTTAATTATTTACTTACAACACCTTGCTTTAGTGATTGAGTAGTAGATATTAGTTGTATATTTGTATTATTTTAAGCTATTGGGATGTATGTATCCATTTCCATTCCTTTATTTTATGTTTCATTGGACTGCTTTGATTCTTGTGAAGAAAAAATTCATTAGTGGTCCCTAAAACATTTAATTTATACAGAGTATATTATTGACTGATATTAAAATATTCAGGATATTTTATGACCATGTATAAAAGTAGAGAAAATATATTGATGTTATAATGTTTTCTTATTATTTATTAAACTTTTGGGATAAAAATGCAGTTTTCGCTTTTAAAAAAAGTTATGAAAGAAGACCGAATCGAATCATTTGTTTTGTTTTATTTATGTTAAGTTGTTAAACGGAAAGACTAGATTGTTTTATTAGAGATATTGTATGTATTTTGTATTATACATATGTTATTATTACTATGATAATGAAATGGATCTAGTTATGTTAAAAGGAAGACTGTGATAAGTTTATTACGAGAAAATAATTATTCATAATATAATATTTCTGGCCATGGTTTGGTTTCCTTAAAATATTTAATTTATTAAAGTTTATTTCTTCAGTTTTGCCTTAAATATAATGCTCAAGTGCCTTTCTCAAAAATAGCTGACCTTTTGGTGTTTATCTCCTATTTTTTAAAGAATTTATTTGCTAGAGAAAAAAAAATATAATGTATAATCCATGGTTTCTATATGCCAAATAAAGGGAGCAAACTATTACATAGTTGATCAAACAAAATTAAGCTAAGAAATTAATAAGACTTAAATTTTACCAAAAACTTTACCTGTTACGTTACTACAGCTTTAGACTTTCATTGTACTATATGTGTACAAATATTTATTAGAATTTTGGTAAAAATAGAAATAGAAGGATAACCAAAGTTTGGTTTAATTTATTTGGCATAGAATTTTATATATGTTAAGTTTGCTCATTTGATTACATTTATAAGCATTACAAATTTCATGGTCCGATTATTAATTTTTTTAATATTTACATTATGGAAAATGAAATAATAGTTCAAAAATAGAGCTGGTTAATTAGTACAGTGGTCATCAGTCAATATCTCACTCTAGTTATACTTAGACTTTTTACAATCATCTTTTTTAATTTTTTTGTAAGGCCGTTATTGAAGTATACATGTGTGTTCTTATTAAATTAATGTATTTTCTAAGTGCTTTAAATTATTATAATAGCTCTTTTTTTTTTTTTTTTCGTAATACTTATATGTTGCACATTTTTGTTTTAAATTCATATAGTTTCATATCATGATTACATTACTTCTATAAACAAAACTCTGGGTTGTTTATTTATGCCATTTGTAAATCCAGGATAAGAAATGTTTTTGACAAATCTAGAATTATCTTATTTGTAAAGAAACAAGTTTTATAGATATGTTAATATGAACATTTTGTAAGAGAATTATACCTATTCATTGTGATGCCGTTTTATACTATTTTTGTAAATTAAATAGGTAACAGTATATAAATAAAGTTTATCAATTAATTCTGTATAATTGTTATCACTGTGTTGTTATTAATAAATGTTATATACATAATTTAAGACTGTATATCATTTTTGAATTTCCTCATTATCCTATAATTATAATTGGTAATATTTATAGTGACAACCTTTGTAGTTTATATGATACAAGGAATATTTAATTCTTTCTGAGAATTTGGTCATGGTATATTTGAATTTCCCACCACTAAATAATAAAATCTTTATTTGATTTAAACAATATTTGTTTCTTAATATAAATATATCACTTTTTGTACTTAAATTTTCGATATTTTAATATTTAAAAAATATATTGCAAACATAATATTAAAGCTCGAGGTTATGTGTTTTATTCAGTAACGGTTGGTACAATTGTCTTAAGCTATCTGTTGAGCGGGCTAACAGCCTTACTCAATAACTTTGCCGTTGTTAATTCCGTTTCTAGTATTCTCGTTTTTCATAATTATTAAGTAGTAATTGGTTTATACGTCATTAATCAAATGTGATGTTAATTAGTGGATGAAGTGAAGTCAATTATCGCGGTTTTATAGTGTTTGTGCTGCATTTGAAAACTTCCAGTTGGCTTAAACTACTGTCCCAGGTAATAACAATCTGTACTAAATTAAAAATAAACAATGAAGTAGTTATAAATTTAATAATGACAATTTTAGCTTTGCCCATATTTTATTATATATTTTCAATATTTAGCTAATCAGTTTTTAATATTTAAATTGGTTTATTAGATTTATTTAATCAAGCAATTTTATTACAATGTACAAAGAAATTTAGTAATTTTAGATTTATTTACGGAAATTATAAATGAAACTATAACTTTCTCTAAATGGAATTTTAAAAATCTACTGAGTACTTTATTCGAGTGTTTGCGTGTAATATCTACAATAAAATGAGTTCTAACATTAATAATTTTTTCTGAAAGTTTTATATATAGTATTCGTTCATTAATGGCTTTTTCTACTTGAGTGTTAAAATAAATGATTGACATTATGTTCATTTATTAGTTTATTTTATGATGCAAGTCGTAAATACAGTGTGAAAAAATCCAGTGCCCTCTTGATTACGTTCTAATAGTCCATATATGGCGATCTATTGAAATGAGTATTAAATAATTATTCCTACTGCTGATTAAGTTACGAAACATTTTCTGTATTTAGTCAGACGAATTGGTAACAAATTAATTATTTTCAGCTTTATTTGATATATATAATTTTTAAGGTGCGTTTAGAAATTTCACAAACTTTGGGAAATGAAATTCTCTTACTAATCTAATAGCGACATTATTGCTTAAACTAACTATTTATTTTATTATTGTGGATATCGACATCAGATGAAAAATACCAAAAACAAGAAACTAAATTACTAACATAGTGAAATAACCATTTATATATTTGTTCCATATAGTTTGTGAAATGTCTAAACGCACCTTAAAATCATTATATTTTAATCAAAAGTAGTATAAATTTGTATTTATTGTGAATTAGCGATGAATATCAAATAAATATTAGATTCTCTGTATCATTAATGAATCAAAAAGCACCACCACTTTCTCAACTCCCCTTTTTTAAATGAAATTTTCCGCTTGTGGTAGTGAAGAGAATGTCATGGTTTAGTTGGTACAAGAATACGATTTTTCAGGCTACGTCTGCTACTGCATCTAAGAAAAATGGCTGTTGAATTTTCCAAGAAGATGGAAGACTTTTGTAAGTACCATTTGTTATCATTACTAAAGTTACATATTTCAAATACCAGTCAGTGATGAAAATTACTATATTCATGTTCCTTTTACTTTTAAAAAAAAACTTAAACACGAAGAAAATAATTTAAATTCCAAATTTGATTTATATCATCAAAAGTTTAAGAAAAATTGAAATTTTGCTGCTTATACAAACTTTTTGAAGCAATACTATGTAATGTACTTACTGTTTATAATTTTAATAAGCTTATTCACATTGTTTATAATTTTTTGTCTAAATATTATGTACTTCCACAATTTTCTATCTTTTTGTATCTTGTCCGTTCTAACCCTGAAGAAGACCTGCAAAGTCGGGTCGAAACGTTGGCTTTTAATAAAAATAGCTTTACCACTATTTAGCCTATTTATGACCGCCACCCCGGACCATCTCCTTCCTTTATAATGCAACGGTCAACTATTAAATATTCAATAGACTACTTTTAGTTGTATTTTAATTTTCAAAATCTCCTTTACATTGTAATAAAGTCTTAACCCGAGGAATTCTCTTTAAATCAACTAGTTTATTTTATTAAAGTACAAATTGTACCAGTCAGACCAAAGAATTGTCTTTGTTTTTTTATGAGATGGACTTTAATACCATTAATAGAACTTGTTAGTATATTATTCCCAGAACTCGTCTTCTTAAGATAGGAAGGGTACTGCCATTTTATAATTTTTAACACCATTTTCTCTTTTTTTCCTTATATATAACAATAATTAACATATATCTATAGTAGGAACCTTGTATGTGCTTCAGAAAAATAAATTTCAAGGTACTTTTAAGCTTTTGATAGGCAATGAATTTTAAAATTACTTTTAGCTACACTAAACCATCGAAATCCTCTCGCATCCAATCCTTACAATCCAAAATCCTTCGTAAAATCCTCAATGCTCCTTACTTTGTCACTAATAAAATTATCCATAAAGATCTTAATGTTCCTTATGTTTCAGATCTGGCCCAATCCAGATTCCTATCCTTCCATAATAAACTTCAGAGTCATCCCAACCCTCTCGTTTCTAACCTTGCTTCCTCTTCAATTCCTGATAACCCTCCGAGGCGTCTGAAAAGAAGATGGCCCCGTGATCTCCTAATGTAGTCATATCATTAGAGTGCTACCATTGGGTAGTTACTCAGCAAGTGTACTCATGTCATTATATCTATTATGTCCAAATTTACTTCATGTATTTATGTAATACAGTTGTAAATGTCATTTAAAAAAATAAAAAATAAAAAAAACTTTTAGCTAATTTCAATAATTTTTAAAACAATTATGAATTTGAAATATGTAATTTATAACTCTTCTTATTTATACATTAATAAAATGTTATTATTTTATTTATTTATTGTTGACATTACTAAAATGTGGCCCAAAGAATTGGAGCGGCAGGGAGGATGTTCAGTATGGTCAGACGGGGTTTCCTGGGAAGAAGAGAGGTGTCGAAGCGGACCAAACTATACGTCTATAAACCGACATTCCTCCCTATCCTGTCGTACTCTTCAGAATCGTGATCGCTCACCACAAAACACAGAAACCATACACAAGCCATGGAAATGAGGTTATCTGTGTAAAATCGAACGAAAGACACAAAGAGATACGATACGGAACGCCACCATAGGAGATAATCTCAAAGTCAAACCGGCGGAGACCATTCTGGAAGAGCACAAAAGAAGACTTACGGGACCCACACGGAAGGGAAAAGACCCAGAGGAAGGCCTCGCATCTTCTGGAAACACTAACGGATCCAGGATTTAATTTTTGGGGGAGGGTGAGCTTCAGATCGAAGTATATATTTTTTGTATGTATATATTAGGATAATTACTTCGGAAGAAAGAAACTAACTACCTAATAATAAGAAGTGGTGTTTAAGTGCTTCTTTAAGTCCTATGAAATGTAATTAGATTAACAATAATACTTTTAGAGATAATATTTTATAAAATATGGTTTGATTTTACCATGTTGAGGGGGGAAGAGGAGGACTTCAAAAACAATTGTCTCTCCCCATCTTATAAGTATTGTACTTAGAAAAAGACAATACTGTGGAGAGTTGCTGTATAAGGATTATTAGATTCTTCATTTATTAGCGCATCAGGCGCATATAGCAGTCTCTGGCTTTTTCAACTTCTGCCTTCTACTTTTACCTCTCCATTACATGGATCCAGGATTTAATTTTGGAGGCTTCAGCCCGAAAAATTTTTATATAATAATTTCTTTGGAAGAAAAAGGAAGAAATTATATGAAGGGTTGTATTAGTGATTCTTGAAGTCTCATTAAATGCAATTACACGAGTAGTAATACTTTTAGAGATCACTTTTTAATATTTTTTTTCATAAGACATGGCTATATTTCACCATTTTGGGGGGAAGGAAGAGGGAAAGGCTTCAGCCCGAAAGCTCTCCCCCTCTCCTCTGTAGATCCGCCTGTGCATGGACCCAACTTCAACTTCCGTGTGTCTTGGAGTACATATCTCTCCAGCAGCCTTGGTCTTCCTCTACTTCTATTTCCATCTGGTGTACCCTCATAAAGTCTGTTTTGATCCATTCTCATTAAATGACCAAACCACTAAACACACTTCAATCTCTGGATTCTGGTGCTGGCCGAGATTTTCAGATCGTTGTATTTATTATACAGATCTCTCTATTTTTCCTTACCCGCCATATTCTATCTTCACAAATTGGTCTCAGGATGTTTTTTTAGTATCATTCTTTGAAAACGGACCAATAAATCCCTGGTCTTTTTATTCATAATCCAGGTTTCGCTGACTTATATTACTACTGATCATAATCTTGGTATTCTACATCCTGAACTTAGTGGTGATACTGGTCAGCCTACTCCTATGCAAATTGAATATGTCGAATACGCTCTGTTCTCCCTGCGCAATACTCCACTTATAAACCAAATATCGTATTGCTATATTAGACATATATTAGATTTTTTAAGTGAAAACTTCTTTAGGTGCGTTTTGCTCTTTTTTGTGCAGAGTGAATTAGAATGATCCATCAGATTTCCAAAG